AATGGCTGCTACATGACAGCAAAAGCACTACTCTTGTTCGCGTATTACATCACTCTATGAGTTTTTATCAGATAAGAATAACATCAAATTGAAAGATAATTCATATTGATCACTGTAATCATTTTCGATTTATAGAACCTGATAAAGGAAAACGTCCTAATTAAGAATAACAAAGATGTTGATGTAGTGCTAGCTATAATTACACAATAATGTCGATAAACATATTTGAGTGTATCCTACTACGGCCCATTTAATATTATAACTGATTACTAAGGAGAATTTTACGAACTAAATCCATAGATGACATACCGTGGCGGCCTCGGGAAGGTCTTCCCTGCAAACAGCTGGCTGAACCTTTTTATAGGTTGTTCTAGTCGTCCCATTTGTACACGGTTCAGTCACAGGATAATAGTCGGATGAACGACATGCTGGCCGTTCAGAACAACGCTCAGCTTTCGGTCCTGCATACGTAAAGATTAGTTCTACTATCCATGGAAAAAACATGATATAATTATTGGAACATTTTCTTGCATGTTTTTTTCTGTTTTATCTTCCATATTGAAGATTCTTGAATGCTTTAATGTGCATGACGGTCACTATTAGTCTATCACTTTGGGATTAGTCAAACTACCTGAAAATTGCGTTTGCGGACAGCGACCGCACCTCGCAGCTCCTTTTGGTGCGAAATATCCTGGAGAGCATGGGGTACATTCAGCTGCACCACCTTCTGAGTACGTACCCACTGGACAAAGCGAACACTCTCGAGTGAACGCAAGTCCTAAACAGAACTATTAAGCAAACTAGTATATAAAAAGTGGGTCAGCTTGATAAAAGCTAACTGTAATAGTATTATAAATCTCTCCAAGAAGCTTCGCCAGTTTTTTCGCCCATTTATGACACGACATAGTTCTGGCATCTACATAGAAAAAGGCTACCTATTTAAAGCTCCTCATGCTTACTTAGCCCCACCTCAAAACGAAGGTATTATTCGACAAGAGGTCCAGTATAAGAAAAATTTCGGGCATTTCTCACATGCAGCAGTTAGTTGGCAATAAAACAAGTAATTTTTCAAGATTGCGTAGAAGCCTATAAACTGTTGCAAGTTAAAGAGGAACACATTTAACTATCCTACCGTAGGAAATATAATATGACTGAATTACCGAGGATATCAATTCTCGAGATTCGAATTGGTTCGGAAGACACTTTCGCACCGGCACTGTTCGTAACGGTCCAGCTAACAACATTTGCTCCTGGAATTCGAATTCGCTAAAAGCATGATGAGGATTTCGGTATTGTTCGAATTATAAGAGAATCAAGGATTGTTCGACGGGTATCGTTTTCGTGCCTGAATCTAAAATTTGCAAGGCTACAGTGATGGATAATTTATTTTGCTAAGCTTCACCAACCAGCTCCGAATAGAGGCATGAGCTTTTGAGCTTTCGGTAGGATTCCCTACTATCGAATTGGTCAATTATTTTGGAAGTTCATTTCTTACCGGTTCTCAAGTCAATTACTCGTTTTTGCCAATCACCATTCGCTTCCTCTTTGTGTGTTCGACTATTACCAGCATATTTCGTAAGCATAGATTGCATGGCTTCCCTGAAGAAATTACTATCAACAATCATCCTATACAAGCTTCTGATATCACGATTTCGCAAGTGGTGCGACCATCAGCCAATATGCCCACCACAGCTTCGGACTCACCTATAACTCTGACACTGCTGATTGCGTACATCTACATGTAGAGACAATGCTTTGTTATTTTTCGGCATTCGATATGAAAATTCAACAAATCCAGGTCGGACCAAGTTAGCGGAGAACGACAGACGTGAAATGCATGGCGATGGAATGTACAGCAGCTCGGCATCTCGAACAATCCAGCCAGTTCTAAAGTAGTTAATAAAGCATGATGAATTTATATTCTTTTTTTTTCATTTGAATTTGCATCTAGGGAAATCAATCATAAGTGGGAATAATTTCGATTGAGAACACTCTACTCCT